TGATTCTGCACAAAGGAGAAGAAAAATTAGTAATTATAGTAATACTAAGGCATATAATTGCAATCTAAGCGTAGACAAGTCAAAATTTGTAGAACTAGGTATAAAATTGTAATCTAAGCCTAGACACATCAAAATTTCGGCAGCACCTCCCCTGCACGGTGGGGTTTCCAAAACCTACAAGAAAACTAACGGCACGATGGCCGCCCACCACATATCAACGGCTTGATGAAAGCCTCGGTCTTGTCGACCCATTCTCTGGTAATCTCACGGGCGCTCCGGCGGCCCGAGTACATCCACTCACGGTCATCCATCCTCTAACATATATATCACCAAGTAATAAATATAACCATGGACTTGCATCTACACGTCGTTCCTACCATCTAATAGGTAAGGATAGGTCCTAATCCCACCCGAGGATGCGTAGATGGTGTTAGTTCCCATGGTCTGGTCCTATCCGAAACAGAATTTCGGCAGCACCTCCCCGCTGTTCTCCAAATACACGTCCCGACAGGGAGATTGTGTATCCAAAGAACAACAGGAAGGTACTGTCGAAACTCTGTCTCGGATCGGAGCAGACCATGGAAACTAACACCATCTGCGCATCCTCGGGCTGTCCAAAAAAACGTGGACAATTCGAAACAGATACGGTTATTGATATGCAAAGATCTGCATATTTCTAATTGTATCTCTTTCGAACAGGAGACACCTAATTGGGTTACGTGGAGATACATGACCAGGACAAAGAAAGAGTGGTTATATCTTAGGTGGACGGTATACTTGCCGACGGCCGGTGTTTGCCGAGAGCCGAGAGCCAACGGACGGTATACTGTCCAAATGAGAAGTATGTTGGTGAAACAATTATGTGCAAATGCAGACTTGACAATGACAGTGCTGGTTTCAAGTTTGCATTGCCAGTACTTGTAGGCTGCATTATAAAATAAAGCTACGATCTTAGCATGTCTAGGAACAGCAGCAAGCAATACATGCTAAGCTGCAAAATGCATGTCACTGGAGTGTCTAAACAGTGCCAAATCTAGTTGGATGGAAGAACCTCTGAGCTTCATTGGATGTCATGCATGTCAACACATACTAAAGATCACAACTAACTTTCATGTATGCTATATTGGTAGGGTAATAGTCTAATGCCAGAGACTTATGGAATACAAACCAAGATGAAGGAAAAGATCTTTTTTCTACACAATAGGATGCTTTTAAGAAGCCTATAGTAGGTCATTCAGTAGAGCGCATCATTAAACAAATATCTGCAGTTTCGCGCCTAATTATAAAATCCAACTCTTTAAGATATCACAGCACTGTTTCATAACATACTTGATAAGCTAGCTTTTAGTGTTCACCCCCTTGTAGCATTCAGCTTTTCTTTTCACATAAGACAATTTGAGGCTAAATGATTAAAAGAATGTAAATTTTCAGAAAGACAAATTTGACACATAATTGTACTTTCATTTCATAAGAACTAATTTGTTTATATATCCGAAACATTTGTGCAGTCCAGAAGTAATTTCAACAGGCTACGGAAGCAGCTGATGGTCGTCCAAGGGAGATACCGTACCGTGTCAAGGTCGGAGGCGGCAAAGCTGGGAAGGCCCAGGCGCTCCCCGTCCCCACCGCCGCCGCCGAGGCTCCGCCCTGCAGTTGCGATGACGTACGATCACGGGCGAGCAACAAACCCAAAACCCAAATGGAGCCCATACTAGTGGTGCGTGCGATCGAGGACCTACCTGGTCGGGCGTCAAAGCACAGGCGAGCCTGCGGAGCGCCGCGGCGAGGATCGAGCCGTCGGCGAGAGCGGCCCGTAGGTCGTCGTCGGACGCGTGCGGCGGGGGCAGAGGCAGGCCGGAGCCCGCCAGAAGCGACCGCAGCCACGCAACCACGCAACGGCGGGGGCAGAGGGTCGCGGCGGCGGCACACCGAGCTGGGCGGCGCTCCTCGCGGCGGCGGCGGTGTGTGTGCGTGCGTGAAGAGTGAGAGAGATAAGGTGCCGAAACGGTTAAATGTGTGAAGCCACTTTGCCGACAGCCAGATCTGAGAGGCTCTCGGCAAATCTTACACCTTTGCCGAGAGCCCCCAGATCCGGCTCTCGGTAAAGTTATTTTTTTTTTCAAATTCCGTTCGAATTTTTTAACTAGCTAACTGTACAAAAAAAATATTAAAAAAAATAAAAATTATTATTTGCCGAGCGTAGCTCTCGGCAAACTGAACAAAAATGATATTTCTAAAATAAATAAATCTTTTCCGAGAGCAGCTCTCGGCAAACTATTGATTCAGGCCAGGTAAAAAAAAAAGAAATCTGCGCCGAGAGCGAGCCTAGTTGCTCTCGGCAAAGAGCCTTTGCCGAGAGCAATTCCCTGAAGCTCTCGGCAAATAATATCCAAAAAAAATTAATAAACAGCAAACAGCTCCGGAAAAATACGAAATTTTACCGTGTTACAACTTATGCTCTCTAATGGCTATACAAAAAGTTTGGAACTCCAAAACTAATTCGACCGTGACATTGTTTGAAAATCCTAGTGGATCATTCTCAACTTTATGAAACTTATTCGCAGATGTCTCATATTGTAAGAATCATACGCAACCACTTGTGCGAAACATTTTCAATTTTTTACCACAGCCTCCAAGTGTGATACCATGACTTCATTGCAAATATCACAATTTTCCGACTTCGTTTCGTTTTTTAAGAATTTTTAAATCGTTGGGCGACTTATGTTCGTGGTCTTCGATTCGTAAAATAAAAGGCGAAAAAAACATCTACAAGATGTTATTTGCCCTCAATAATGCATAAATAGCATGAATATCATTTTCTACTTAATTTTTTCCCGTGTTTAAATCAATCGCTGTTCAAATTTTAATCGATTAAAAAAACTCCTTGAAATGCAATTAATTAATTATATATAGCAAATAATTACAAAAATACACAAAATTTTAATATTGAGTACAACCTGTAGTATGTCTATAGATAAAAAAGTTTGGAGCATATGAAAGAAAAAATAATTTAATTGGAGAGAGTTAGGAGAAAAGAAACACATGCATATGAAATATAGAAACCACATTTGCCGAGAGCCTAGGAGGGGCTCTCGGCAAATATTTGCCGAGAGCGGCGCTCGGCAAAGATGTTTGCCGAGAGCAGTAACGGAGGGGCTCTCGGCAAAACGGTGACGCCGTCAGGGCAAGTCACGGCTATGGGCCCACGGCAATGTTTTGCCGATAGCCTGATTTTGCCGAGAGTGCGGCCTACGGCAAAGGCCCGTTTTGCCGACGGGCATTTTTTGCCGAGCGCGGCTCTCGGTAAAAGGGCCGCTTCGCCGAGAGCTGTTTCTTGCCGAGAGGCAGGCCCACGGCGATCCTATCACTTGCCGACGGTCGGTGTTTGCCGAGAGCCCCTCTCGGCAAACGTCTTCTTTGCCGAGAGCCTGAGTTTTTGCTCTCGGCAAAAGTATAGGATCTCGGCAAAGGACGTTTTTCCGGTAGTGACATGAAGGAGTTCCTCCGCCTCGCCGCCGCGGCCTACTCTGAACCCATGCCCCTGGCGGCCTCGCACGCCGTTGCTCCTCGAGCGCTTCCCTTCGACCACAGCATCACCAGGCAGCATGGTCATCTCGCTGTGACCTGGTACGGGCCGGAGCCGAGACTGATCGTGAACGACCCCAAACTCACGCGAGAGATCCTGGCAAACAAGCACGGCTTATTTGGGAAGCAGAAGTCTGTTCTTTGGGTCGAGAGGCTGCTGGCCAACGGCCTGACGACCCACCAAGGCGAGAAATGGGCCACGCACCGGAGGATTATCAACCACGCCTTCCATCTCGAAAAGCTCAAGGTCACTTCTTTACAAACTTCTTTACACACAACCTCGATCTATATATATTGGCTCACTGTCGCAATATCATCGGACTCTCTGCAATACTGATTGATTCACCTGAAATTACCCAAGCCTATGCTTAACAAAACTTAAATTTAAGGTCCGATATTCTGCTCTGCTGCAACTGAAACATTGAATTAATTGTTTTTGGCAGAGGATGTTGCCAGCTTTCGCCGCATGTTGCGGTGAGCTGATAGGCAGATGGGAGAACTCTGTAGGCTCTGAGGGTATGCAGGAGATAGATGTGTGGCCGGAGTTCCAAAATCTCACAGGCGACGTCATCTCCCGCGCGGCGTTCGGGAGCAGCTTGAGTGAAGGCAGAAGGATCTTCCAGTTGCAATCGGAGCAGGCACAAAATGCTGTAAATATGGCAAACAGGATGCATGTCCCAGCCTACAGGTGAGCTCGCATCGCATGAATATTCATTTATTGTAAAATTTGGTGCAAATTACATGGAGCTGTCAGAACAGCTAGTAGTGTAGCAACTGAAAAACACCAGCACCTGCCGAGACTGACCAGAAGAAAAATGGCATCAGCAGGCGCTATCCACCCAATTGCTTCTTCAATTGAAAAATTCTCCATTTACTATCTGACGTAAACCTCAGTAATTCTCAAAGCAGAAAATGAGACGTTGATTTCTTTACATAGGTTCCTACCAACAAAGCTAAATAAAAGGATGAAGGAAAACGCGCGTGAAGTTGAGACGCTTCTCAAAGGCATTATCTCAAAGAGGGAGAGGGCAATGAAGGACGGACTCGATAACGACGACCTACTAGGATTGTTACTGGAATCCAACACTAAAGAAAGCGAGGAAAGTGGGATCACCAAGGCAATGATGAGTACAGAGGACATAATCGGGGAGCTGAAGCTATTCTACTTCGCAGGAATGGAGACAACCGCAGTGCTGCTCACATGGACAATGGTGCTTCTGAGCATGCACCCTGAGTGGCAGGATCACGCGAGGGAGGAGGTTCTTCGCATCTTTGGGAAGAACCAACCGGACTCTGAGGGCATCAATCAGCTCAAAACTGTGAGTCCAAAAATGCCAAGACATAATATTCTGAATTTTTTTCTCGTTTCAGGCACAAATCTGCAAAGCTCCAGCTGATGCCTTTTTGTGTCCCAGGTTACAATGATATTACATGAGATTCTGAGATTGTACCCGCCTATACTGCTACTTGGCCGGGAGACGTATCAGGAGACAGAGCTTGGAGGGGTCAGGTACCCACCTGGTGTTGTATTTTCGTTGCCAATTGTGTGCATCCACCACAACCCAGGAGTTTGGGGAGAAGACGCAGACGAGTTCAGGCCGGAGAGGTTCGCGGAGGGCGTCTCCAAGGCATCCAAGGACGCGCCGGCGTTCTTTCCGTTCGGCTGGGGGCCGCGGATATGTGTTGGTCAGAACTTCGCGTTACTGGAGGCCAAGATGGGCTTAGCCATGATCCTGCAACACTTCTTGTTCGAGCTCTCACCGTCTTACACGCATGCACCGTGCGCGGTCTCCACTCTGCAGCCACAGTATGGGGCGCAGATTAAGCTTAAGAAACTCTAATGTTTTTTATTAAATGGCCAGCGAACCATAGAACTAGTGCTTAGCTGGTGATCTTGGAAGGGATCGGTCGTATGGCTGTAAACTTATACGATTATATAAATGTAAAACATATTAAATAATGCTTTTATGTGATCAAGGCGTTTAAATAAACTTATACGCTGGCGTTGGAGCTGTTTATGTGCGAGGGGTTTCCTGTGTGGGTCGACCCAATGTTGAAGGAGCTCGCCGCCTCACTAGTCATGAGCACCCCAGCAGGAGCACCAACGCCTGGGTGCTCGATTGCTCCGGCAGCCGCTTCTCGGGAAGTGGACGCATCGCTGGTGAACAGCCGTTCTCCGTCGCTTGTGCAGGGGCCACCACAGGTCACACCGCCACGGGGATAGCCCGACGTCATGGATGCTGAGGCGTGCTCTGATCCAGCGCTGGTCGGGGCTGCCACCCCAGGAGACATGACGGTCGTGGCTACCACGGACGCCGTCAACCGTACTCCATCCCCTCATACGTCCTCTACCGACAGACGCCTCAAGCGCTTCATCGAGCGAGTCACAAAGGCGAGGCAGCCGTCACTCCTGGAATTGCCCGGAGTTGATACGGTCCACGGTGGATGTGCACCGCTCGCGCTCCCCAAGAGAAGCAAGTAGATAGTGGCACAGAGCATGTCACATATCCCAGTGTCCAAGCGAGGTGAGCACACTGTCTTGAAGCACCTAGGACTAACCACTGGGATGTGTTCTCAAGTCGGCCATGAAGGCGTACGAAGAAATCTTCAGCGGTGACCCCGGTAATATGCAGGCGCTTCGTGACTTGTTCCCATCGGACGGCGATGTCTGTGTGCGCAAGCAACGCCGCCGCTGCCCGGGAGCCCGGGCATTGGTCTCCTAGTCGGCGCCGTAATTCAGGATGATCGGTGTCAAATATAACGTATAACTTTCAATGTACTAGGGAGGGTCCGAGCGTCCATGTAAAACTATTCTGACCACTAGGACGCCGCTAAGGCGTGTTGTATTAAATTTTTTCTCTATCTTAATACAAAGATGCGTAAAACCTTTTGCGTAATGAAAAAAAATCAAGGTGCTTAAATAGCGTTTTTAGTGATTGCTAACACACTCTAGCGGTGGTATTAATAAAAAATTGTTCCCTTAATGACTCATATAATTATATACAAATGATATTAATAAAATATTTAAGATCATGTTAATATCTATGGCATATAATTTATGGAAAATATTCTTTGATATATTTATACATTTTAATTTACAAACATTTGGCATATCAATGTCGATAATATGATTATAGAGTAAAGTTTGATCCACCCCTGACTATCTGCTAAATTTGAAACCCCCTCCCCTCCTCGAATTTCAATAGCAAACAACACACACCTTAACTTTTAAAATCAGATAAAATACTCCCCTTAACCATTTTAAAGTGGTTTTTTTTGGCAGTTTTGCATGAGACGGTGGGGCTCATTTGGTCACTCTTTCTCTTATATATAAAAAGCATAACTTTTTCATATAAATTTGTATGAATTTAAATTTTATATCAAAGTTTTAGAGCTCAAACTGAGTTACAACTTTCTAATTAATAAATTTTTTATATATTTTTTAGGCTCAAATATTTGTTTTAATTTACTAGATTTTAAAATTTATTTATTTTTTCTTTTTCAAATGACTCCGGATGTTGACATAGTTCATACTAAATTTGAAGTTCCTAGTAAGGTTTACAACTTTATTGTTGACAATTTTTTTTATCTGAGAATATTTTTAGAGACCCAAATATTCATTTTAAGTTCTGTAGTTTTGAATTTCGTTTTATTTTTGAATTTTTCAAACAACTTTAGATGTTGACGTGGTGTACACAAAAGATGTACCTTTAAATATGTTCTGTAACTTTGTAGTTGGTAACATTTTTATCTAGTGACGTTTAGAGGCTCAAATTAATTTTAAAAAATCTTGTAACTTAAAACAAATATTTGAGCCTCTAAAATATACTAAATAAAAAATTTATCAACTAAAGAGTTGTGGATCATACAACTTTGATATAAAAGTTTGTATTCATATGACTTCATATGAAAAGTTTATGACTTTTTATATAAGAGAAAGAGAGAAGCCAAATGATAGGTAGGCTGCCCCACTGCCACATCAGAGAAGCCAGCCAATAAACCACTTTGAAACAGTCAATGGGATATTTTGTCTCGTTTTAAAAGATAAGGTATATATGTTGTCCTATTTGAAGTTTGAGGGTGTCTTTCAAATTCTGCGACTAGTTCTGGTGGTGAACGGGACTTTACTCATAATAAAGCAAGAAGGTTAGTGCAGATTAAATGTGGATGTGGCCTTCGTAAAATCTTTTCTAGTAAATAATGATTATAAGGTATAAATATTGATATCCTCTTAAACCATCCTAGATCTCACATCAAGCTCTACTGCTGATCTTTGAACAATGTGGTGCATGTCGTTTGTGTTATCTTATCTTAATACTTAAGAGTGCAATCTGCGACCTAAAATCCTTATTTTTAATAAAATATGAATAATATAGTTAATAAAAGATGCACTAATAAGCATGAGAATTCCAACTTAACTTGAGGATAAAAAGAAATCATGACAACTAACAAGAATTTAAAAAACGAAATATAGATTCATTACCTCATTAGAGACGGCCTACAATAGGAGCCACCATAATTTAAACTAAGGTTTTGAAAAATACATATTAAAGATGCACAGAGGTGCCATGTGGAGGAGAAAAAACTATGAATATGGATGAAAAAACATATAGATTATTAATTGATAATTCTCAGAGCTAGGCAGCAGAGTACCTATATATATCCAGAAATTGTACAAAAAAATCATGCAAATTAATATAATTTATAGGTATTAAATATGAACACATAATATTTATATGTTTCATAAGATTATAGACTCGACATGAGCATGGGTTGATGCATTAGTTATAAAACAAAGTATCCTTTATGGCGCTTCTAAATTACCCACCTCAATCCTAATAATATATTATTAAAATAAATTCAATATATACGTGCATGATGCATGGAACAATGAAAACCATATGTACGTGTATGAAATTAACATGGAGACTCTTATTGAAGCCTCTAGTCAGTGTAATAGTAAGATATGTAACCTTATAACCTAGACGTAACTGAAGGTAGATGTGTCTTCGGTTGAGGAATTGTCTTTCCTTTCTATACCTCATGTGGCTACCCCTTGCCACTCTTTATATAATTCTGGACGAGGTTGTCGGGGGATAGACCCGTACCATAGACGGATACCAATATTGAACGTACCATAGACGGCTACCAACCCCTTTATTGAACGTACCATAGACGGCTACCAACCCCTTTCTATATCTTTTAGTTTCTTGGTGACCTATTTGATACCGTTTCTAAAATATCTATAGTGACTTTCTTAGAGGATCTCCAATAGTTTCCAATCCCACCTTCCAATCTTTTCGTGCTTGGAAATATAGACCGATTGCATGGATATGTTCGCGCCACTCGTGTATCCATCGGCTAGTAAAGGTGAAAGGGCGTGGGAAAAAATAAAGAGTGAGAAAGGGTTTCTGATGTAGATGTACAAGAAAGAGTATATAAAAGTGATTTGGATAATTTGGAAATAGTATAGGATTCCTGATGTAAAGTTGTCTTCTATATTTTTATTTGAGAATTACACAGTACAACTTAGACGGCCACAACATGCACACACGCACTCACCCTTATGAACACACGTACGCAAACTCTACTCCAATGAGCATCTCTGGAAGACCGAGCCGACATATCTCGAGATTTATGAAGTCACTTTATTTTAGGAGCGACGGTCTTATTTATTTCTTCCAATAACTTTTGACCAGTTGAAAAACTCCATGGTTTTGGAAAGAAATTGTTCGGAAATCTTCGAGATGCTCTCATAATATGTACTTGCATCATTGTAAAAAAACTCGATCTGCGGCGGCTAGACAACCCCGGACATTCTGGCTTAAGAAGAAGATCTTCTCACGTAGATCGAGAAAACCTCCTGAACCCTGCCCTACCCTTACACAACGGCACCACATCTCCGTGAGATGAGCTACCACATGTGCTTTGGATGTGGGGCAGATGAGGGAGTTTTTTTCCCGCTGCGATCGAAGCCACAAATAAAGAGTGAGTCCCTTAGAAATTCTTACCAACCCAGGGGAGGTACTGAGCCTGCACTACATGTATCATTGTGAAATTACTAAGTTAAACTAATGGATCAAATAACAACCAAATATTTTGTTGATTATGTTTTAACTTGCAAGAATATTCAACGTTGAAATTTCCGTGTGGATGGATTGGTCTATGAATTTCCATGCTTGTTCTTATACATGCATGACACAACTCTGTTCCTCCTGTCTCTGTTTTCCTTCACGGATAAGGGATGAAGGGTACGCCGTGCGAACAGAACAACCAGGAAGGACACGAGTAACTACCCACCCACGTACCATTTCCATCGAAACGAGTTGTATGACATGACTACGTGCTGCTGACCACCTGATACTTGCCTGTTCACCGCAGTATCCTTAGAGAAGAGATAAATAAATAATGCAGATGCTTACTCTTCAGCGCCACAAAAGCTGAACAAAACCAAGAAACTATGGCGACGCAATGGAGCAGAGGAAGAAACGATCAAGGCCGCCATGGGAGGCAGCTTCCTGTAACTGTGATCAAGGAAAAATCAAGCACGCGGCACGGCGGCAGGGAGCAGCCAGGCAGCCTATAAATTGGGACCTGCGCCGTTCCTCGTGACCATCCCCATCAACAACAGATCGATTTCAATCCAAAGCAATGGCGATTGCTGCATTAGAGCTGCTCTACGTGCTGGGAGGCTTGGTGGCCCTACGGTTGGCATGGCAGGTGCTGGAGTGGGGCTGGCTGAGCCCGCGGAGGCTGGGCCAGGCGCTGCGGTCCGAGGGCCTCCGTGGCACGGCGTACCGCTTCCCGGCCGGCGACGCCAAGGAGGAGGAGCGCCTCCTGG